TGAGCATTGATTGCATGCCATGGACTGTTCTAAACACCTACCATATATTAACCCATTTAATCTCACGAGAATTCCATGAGGCAAGTAGTATTATAGATGAGGAAACTGAGGCACAGAGATCTCAACTAACTTGCATAAGGTCAAAGCTAGAAGCATTTAGTTTATGACTCAAACTCCAGGTTACTCCAGTTTGGGCTCCACAGCCTCGATTAGATACTACCAGATGTTTCCAGAGTCGAGATACATTTGCAGGGAAAGATAGAGGTGTCATCGGGGTCTAGCTCAGAGACCGTGAACAGTGAGGTTATGGAGCACAGCCCATGGGAAGCGTGTAGACTGGAAATATTTGGGGGCTACCCTAGTCTCCTACCTTTCATATTACCACATATCTAATACGTGTTCCTCAATGGTCAAAAAGTCTGTCCATACACAGTGGGAACAAAGGTGTATGGGGATCTATGAATTGCTGGGGCGGGGGGAGTGTAAGCTGTGAGCCAGTCTTCTTCGTGTCAAGATGGACATTTGACCCAAGACCATAGCCTTAACATTATGTTGATACTTGGTTATATTGAGATTAGTGTATGTATATTTTGATGTACCTTAATATTTGGTAGGGAAATCCTTCCGATCGCTGCCACTACTGCATCTGCAAAGGAAGGGTAATGTCAGCACTTACCTCACTGGGTTGTTGTGAAGAGTAAATAAATTAGTATAACGCAGGTGGCGTTGAACAGTAAACAGCTTAAGAAGGTCTTCTTAATTGTAATAACACCAATACTAATTATTATTTTAACTAATAATTACTATGTACCTGTCTCTAAAGAGTGTTATTTACACTGTCATCTCATGTAACCCTCATTGTAAAACTCTGGGGATATAAGTGCCACATTATTCCTACATCGCAGACAAGAAACCTGAGGTAGGAGACCACACAGTTATAAATGACACAGTTTCCAGTCAAAGTTATTCAATCTTATTCCAGAGTCCACTTGCTTAAGCAGTAACCCATAAAAAATACGTATATTTTTTGTATTTTTTTGTGGTGGGGGATTTTAGTACTATATTGAAAACTTACTTTCATGCTTAGAAAGAGAATTTTCTTCAAGGAGAATGAAATGATTTTCTTTGAACTTGGGTGAGGAAGTGGATACAGCACTAATCTTGTTGGAAATTTTTATTGACCCTATTGAGTGTCAAGGTCCTTATGAAGTTGGTCTGGTTCACTTTCAGATCTCTTTATAACCTTGAGAACTGGAAGCAGCTAGTTCATGTCCCTCCTCAGGCCTCCTTCTACAGGTGCATGGGCTTCCTGAATTCCTAAGAGCATTCCCTAGGAGAAAATTCTGTTGGCATGGTGGGCTCTGCAAGAGGCTTTACGATGGGAAACTGTCTGGGGAAAACAGCCTCGTGTGTGCTGAAGAGCAGCTCTAGGTCTTTCCCCTTCTTTGGCCAAAACGAATGCTCGTGAGCTCTTATTTTATGGTTAGCTCTACATTCAGGATGACACCAGTTACCTTAAAGGTAATTGATGAATTTTCAAAGGAAATTAAAGTCGTCTTCCTTTGGAAGTGACATTGGACCATGCATCTTACTGTAGAAAGAGGAGAGAAACATTAGAGGCTAAGGACATAGCCTAACAAAGATGGAGTGTCGGAGTAACAAAGAGGCTAGAAATGAAGGCTCCAGTATTTGCATCCCTGTAATGCCACCACAGTTACCTCTACTCTGGGATGATAGTTTTTCTGCCACAAGTTTATCCCCTAGGCCTCTAATCTACTGTATTCATTAATATCTGGTTATTACTGTACTGCTGAAAAGTCTTCTGTCTTTTGGCCTCCAAAACACTTTTTAAAATTAAAAAAAAATCTTTCACTTATTGATTAATTTATTTAGTACAGGGTCTCACTAAGCAGCTCAGACTGTGATCCTCCTGCCTCAGCCTCCCCAGTGCTGGGATTACATGTGCCACCATGCTCAATTTTGGTGGTTGGCATGGTGTGCTTGGCACCACGCCAACAGAATTTTCTCCTAGGGAATTCTCTTAGGGCTTTAGGAAGCCCACACACCTGTAGAAAGAGGCCTGAGGAGGGACACGAAGAGCAGATGACAAAACAGGGACATTCACAGCACTAGCTGCTTCTAGTTCTCAAGGTTATAAAGTTATAAAGAGATTTGAAAGTGAACTGGCCAGACCAACTTCATGAGGCTTACAAATGATGGAATCAGACCTTGATACTCAATAGGGTCAATAAAAATTTCCAACAAGATTAGTGCTGTATCCACTTGCTCACCCAAGTTCAAAGTCAGACACCATGTAGGAATTCTGAGGCATTTCACAAAGATTTTTCTTGGGACCATTTAGATATGTAGTTTTCCACCAAGACAAACTTTACCACTAAGCTCACTTTCTTCAGTAACAATATTTCATTGAGTTGATGTTCCATGACTTAATTAAAAATTTCTCTATTTGAAAAAGTTCATGAAGTTTTCAGTGTTTGATAGTTAATATATAACTTTACTTACTACTGTGTTGAATGACTTGTTTCTGGTTAAATTCTCCACCAGGTAACATCTTACCTCAGTGCTTTATTCAATAAACATTTGTTAGATGGATGATGGATGGATGGATGAATGAAGGGGTGGATGGGTGGATGGACAGGTGGTCAGTGGATAAATGGATAGATGGAGGGTTAGATGGGTGGGTGGATACACCATGATTCTGAGTGTGACCAATGGAAAAATTCTGAATTGTAATTCAGGAGTTGGCCAAGTTGATTTCTGTGCTTTTCCTTTCCTTTTTCTCTACCTCTACTCTTCTTTGATTCCTTAATTTTTCTTTCTCTTTATTTTCACATGGGAAGAAATAAAAAAGTGGTGGAGTGTTCCAAGACATAGGAAAACCTGCAATCCTTAAATAATGTAACATTAGACTTACTCACATGCCGTGTATTAATTGGAATCTTCCCTGCTGTTTGCATCTGGAAGAAATATCAGCCTGGAAAGTGTACCCATTGGGGTTTGCAATCAGGGAAATGGTTATGGAAGGAGGTGAGATTTAAACTAGACCTTGACAGTGAGTATTGTTTTAATGAGCACAGTTAATGTAAACTCTATATAAGAAAGCGTTGTACCTGTCTTATTTGATTATTTCTAGTGCTGATTAGAGTACCAAGTCAGGAAAACCGAAGAGGACTGTAACATGGAAGGTGTTTGAGTTCTATACCTGGTTGGCATCTTCTACCTCATTCACTGTTTGACCCTCCCAGTGTGCCTGGTAAGCTATGCCTGGAGAAATCTTCCAGAGAGAGATAAGGCGGCACTACAGATGGAAGAATTATTAAAGGAGGGCCTCCTAGAGTAGGGCTCCCACCAGCTGCATTTGAAGTTGGTCTCCCACATAGGAAAGAATGTGTTAGTGGCACTTTGTTGGGTGGGCAGGAAGTGAGAGGAGGACCCACACCTAGTTCTCTGACTCTCTCTATTTTTCTGCTGTGTCCAGTTGGTCACCAGGGTCCAGCTCTACCTGTAGGTCATTTCCCTTGTCAGGTTGTCTGACTCCCCCTGTAACTGGCTCAAGTGGTTAAGAGCAATCTTTTGATGTCTTCTTGGCAAGGTGCCTTCAGTGTTACAACCTGCTCTGAAACGTGATTCCCTCCAGGAGGTTTTCTTGAAGTGCCGAAGTAGCTCTGTGTCTTTCCCCTCCTCCCCAATACCTGGCCAGGACTTGATCTTTTGAGTTTCTTCCTCTTTTGTCTACCCCCGCCTACCTCTTAGGTTAGGCCAGATTTTATATTTCAATCTTCCTCAGCCCAGTATGCTTAGGTTGGCTTTGGCTTTCTCTTTGAGGTAAAATGTTTACCTATTACTTTTTATTTTTTTCAAGGTGTTGTATTTTGAAATATCAATAGCCGTATTTTCCCTTTTTGACTGTTTTTACTTCCCTGTTGATTTCTACTGTTCAAATAGAGCTTTAAAAAAATGCTCTATTCCTGCCTGGCAAGTGCAGGGTTCTGAGTTCAATACCCAGTACCACAAACAAACAAACAAACAAACAAACAAACAAACAAAAAAACCCCCAAAACACACCCAACCCCAAAACCCCCAAAAAACCCCTCTAGGGCCAAAGGGCCAATGAGATAGTCAGCAGACTAAGTGCCTGCTTAGGCAAGTGTGCAGGGACTGGGGTTCAATCCCCCATACTGCGTGCCAAGCTGGCTCTGCCTTCTAGTGCTCTGAGCTGGCAACTTAGTCAGGGCCTGGTGGTGCATGCCTATAATCCCAGCGCTGGGGAAGCTGAAAACAGGAGGATCAATATGAGTCTGAGCTGTGTAATGAGACCCTATAACCAAATGCATTTAAAACATGCTCTAGAAATGGAGACCATGGGTTTCATGTAAATGAGCTAGATAATTTCTCAACTCTGATCTTCAAATTGGAGCCAAAGTATTAAAAAAAAAAAGATGTAGTCTTGACAGTTAGGCTTTCAAGAAAATAAGATTATAAGTTCTTGTTTCAGAGAAGGGGAAAAAACACCTCATAGATAGGTGAGGCTTCAGGCCTGGTGTGAGAGTTATTCTGTCTTTGGCTATCACCTGGCGTGGGTGACTGCGGTGAAAAACATTCTACAATGGATTAAGAGGCGTTCAAGAGCATCAAAGCTGATGCCTGCCTCCTTGGGAGTGTGCTCTAGAGAAGAGAGGCCTCTCAAAGAAGCCTTGGCTGTGTGTGTGTCCCAAAGCCACCATAAATAGGTAAGATTGAATAGGTTGGCTGAAGGGTGGGATCTGAGGGCATGCTGAGGAAACTGAGGTACAGAAGATGCTTGGGTTTCCAGAGGGGCCATGAACATATCTAAGGATGCCATCTATGGACACCTGAACAATGCCCAGGGAGTTAGGTGGTCCAAGTTGCGTTTGACATACCCAAATTCAAGATGCCTAAGGTTGCTTTAAGTGGATACCAAGAATTTCAGATGCACCAAATGCTTGTGGGTAGACAAATAAGAGAGCCAACACACATTTTATAGCACTTCATAGTTTAGAAATACCTTTCTTTGCTGTGCTAGTCAAGGGTATTAATTTGACTGATACTTTACAGATTGGATATTGGGGAGTTTTCTAAAGTGAGGTGATTTGGCAGTAAGAGTGAGCTCAGGATCAGATGTTCAAGTCTTCTGTTGCCAAATCCGCCTGGATTTGGGGTCTTGCTGGTACAATGATGGTGATTTCCGTAGTTCAGTTCTTTCATGCCGAGGCTGGGTCCCCAAAATGCCTTTATCCCTGGTTTTCTGCTTCTCCTCCCATGGCACTGTAAGGGACTGGGCCAGTCCACTATGCTCCACAAGGCAGAAGTGGGGACCTCTGTCCTGCAGGGGGACTTCCATCACCACCCAGGACTGGTATGTGCCATTGCCACTGGGAAGAACATCTACCCTTGACTCAGACTCCCGCTTCTTGCCAGTCCGGATCCAGCGCAGACCAAGTCCTTGTGGGTAGAAGTCATAGGCCAGGCATTTAACTGTCTTGTTTTTTCCTGGGTCCAAGTAGCCAGTGACTGACACAGAGGGAGGATCTGTGGAGGGATGGAGTATGGACATCGGAGGCTGGAAGTGAAATTATCCCTGCTTATGCCTCTCCCAGCCTTGGCTTCTTAGATGTTAGCGCTCTGCAGAGCTCTAAGGTCTGCATTGGTTCCCTGAAGAAACCTTTGGGAAGACTGGGGAAGGCTGAGACTTTCCCCGAGCCTTCCGTGTTAGGTCCTAGAATGCCTACTTTACTGCCCTGCCTACCTCACCGTGGGTTGACTTATGATGGCAACACACTGTGAATGCCCCACACCCTTCTCTATTCCTCCTCCACCCCAAGCCTCAGTGAATTTCGTTACTCTTTCCTCAAGTATTAGCCCAACTCCTTAGGTCTGCCTGCATCTTTGTCCATCCAACTTTCATTGCAATTTCATTCCCTGCTCACTGGAGGTCTTATTTCTCTCTACTTCTCCAGCCAAAGCCTCAGTGTGTGACATTCAGTTCTGCTCATTTCTCCACAAGCAAGACAAAAGGTATCAGCAGAGAGGGGAACAACTACAGGACTTGAATTCTGCAATATGGAATTTGTGTCCCAATTCTTTCAGGGACAGTGTGAGCCTAACCTCTTTGACCCCTAGCTTCCTCATGTGTCACTTGGGGGATTATTTAGCCAAATCTGCTATGGAATCCCACCCAACTTGAAATTTTGATCAACTTTGCTTTTGGAGCCCACATCATGTCCTCCCAGGGGGGAAAATGAATGTTAGGAGGTGAAGGCTGGCCTCTGAAGGATTCCACTACTGGATGGGAACAGCCTGAGCTTTAGTTCTGAGTTCCTAGCCTATCTCCAGATCACCTTGGCTTCCCTCAGCCCAGCCCTGGGAGCAGACCATAGGAGGCAGTGAGTACCTTGCCGGTCCAGGAGAGCCTTGCTGTAGTTCAGGTACCTCCGCAGCATCCTGGGACACTCCTCCTCCAGGTATGCCTTTGCCCGCTGCACGAAGACTTCCTCTGCTTCCCACTTCCGCTTGATTTTCAGGGCTGCTGGGTCCAAGGTGACCCAGGCTGGGATTTCTTTGTTGAATTCGATGAAGTCCTGTCCATCGTAGGCATACCTCCAGAAGGCTCCACTGCTTCTGTTATTCTGGATCTCACAACCAAACATTCCCTGAAAGGTGTGAGACCCTGAAGCCTCCCCCAATCCCACAAGGAGTTAGTCAACCTGGTGCCACCTCCAGCTGAATAACTCTTCTTATTCCTGTGCACTCTTACTCCTGTTGCAATCCAACAGGAAGACAGATTTTGGAAACCTCAACATATGATCCCTTCATCTGGGCAAATAGGTTATTAGCTAGATATATAGTAGATGGAGAGAGAAACTTTTTTGGGTTGGCATTTCATGCCCGGCTGAGATGATATGTTTGTCAGATCTGGGGACTTGAGAGAGAAAGACTATGGACAGATCTCTACCCTTTCTACATCAACTCATTTAATGAAGCTTATTTGTCTGAATAGATGGAGAGGTCTTAGGAATTCATTGCATGCACAATGAAGTGCATTGCTAAATTCAAAAGAAATTATTTGTTGTTTCATAAAGATTATGGGAATCTCTTGTTTTTTCTTAGTTCTAGGTAGAATTTATGTCACTACTTGAGTAAACATACTTTGATCATCTCTCTCTCCTCCAGGGTCTCACTCTGAGGTTCACATTGGCCTTCAATTTATTACATAGTCCAGGCTGGTCTTGCACGTATAGTGATCCTTCTGTCCTAGTTTCCCAAGTGCTGGGATAGTGGGTGTGTGCCACCACAGTCAGCCTCTGGTGGTTGGTTTCTTTATTTCAAATCACTAAAGCCCCAGTGCTCTTGCTCATGAGCACTAAGTCTTAGAAACTGATCTCCTTGGGGCAAGTCAAGTTGGTTATAAAGTAGTTGTTTACTTGAGCCTGGAAGTGCTGTAGGCACAGGCTTTTATAGCTTTCCCTTGATCTGCTCATGAATCCCAGATTTCTCAGCACTCAGCTTGGCCTGTTGCATAAATTTGAGCCTTATCACTGTTCTTCACTTTTCTTATGACCTGGTAGTAGTGCTACTTTAGGAGGATATTGTGGGCAATTAAAAGTATTAAACCTACACTTGGCACATAGTAAAAGGTCAATGAATATTAGTTACCATGCTGTTATTTTATCTCTTCAGCTTTTTCACTGGTAACCACTACTTTAAGTTTTGTTTTTGTGGTACTGAAGACAGAATTCAGGGCTTTTGCCCTGAGTTATTTTTAGCTCTTCTCTATTTTGAGACAGGGGCTTGCTAGGTCACTAAGTTGCTCAGGCTGGGCTTGAACTTGTGATATTCCTGCCTCAGCCTCCTACAGGGCTGGGATTCCAGGTGTGCACCACCCCACCTGGGTCACTTCAGTGTTTCTATTTCAGTCAATCAAAGTTTCTTCCCATATTCTTCCAGACACCAGCTGTCCTCCCTGCTCCTAGTTCTGACACCCTTCCCAGGCCATTTGCCTTATTCCACATACTTCAGATTTTTATATAACTCTGGAAATCTTTCAGATTCTGTGTAACATCTTGCACATTTTTGAACTCAGAAATCTACATTTGGACTCTTATAATAATTTGACATGGGAAGTTCACCACACCTGAGACGTACTGCCTTGAGGGAGTAGGCATTGTGTTTCACGGGAAACAGAACTTATATTTCTCTGGCTCTGCCACCTTCTCTGTCACCCCAAGTATAGAAGATGGTGCCCTGTGTGTCTGCTCCTTATGGGACAGAAAAAGCTTTATGATTCTTTGTAAGTCTAGCAGTTTGTGGTTTGGAATTCAGCTTTTATGGAGATCCCAGTATGGGTTATGCTTTGTGCTAGATACTTTCTTTTTACTTATTCAACGTTTTAGTTGAGCCATTACAGCCTGCATCCTGCCCTATGCCAAAGGCCTGCAGGTGAGAGACACACTGTTACATCCTTTATGGAATCTATGTGCGGATGTTTTCCTGAATCTTTTAGAGGTAAGTCTCAGTGCTCCAACTTTTGCAGTTTCTCATCATCTAATTAAGAAACGTGCTTACCATCAAACAGGCAATCACTGGTGGAGCCACCAAATGAACTCAGCTGTGATTGATTCCAAGGTTAGGTCGCTCTCCACCCAGGGTGAATCGCCATGCCTTCTGGAGTGGGATGAGCCTCAGATAGGTGGGATGTGAAGGCAGGAAATCAGGGGTGGTGGGGCTAGGAGGTGAGGTGGATATCACTTTCTCTGTGAGCTGAGGTCTGGGCTGAGGATGGGGAGGCCATGGGAAGGAGGAAGCACGTGTGCTACAGTGTGGGAGACACAGATATGCTTGGGCATTTCCACTTGTGCCTCCTGTAGGGGAGACAGTGTTTCCATACTCCTGAGCCTGTTCCGCTCCTATATGTGGGGCTATCTCTGTGCTAAGATCCCCCCCGGTGGTCTGCAGTCCACTGACCTTCTCTGTCCTTGTAATAGTCCATGATGTCTTTCAAGGCCACCAGGAAGATTTCCTCCCTGGCCTTCTGAAGTTGGCTCTCCTTCTCCCAGTCTTCCATTCCTTTTATCTGTCTCCATGGTCCTATGGGCTCTGCTTTCCTGCTGTCACTATTGTAGTGGAAGAAGGCCTGGTCATTGAGGAAGGCAGTGGCTTGAAATTTGGGGAAGAGTCTAGTGGGCTTGGACAGCCCTGTGTAGAGAAAGGCCAGGGAGTAAGGACCTGTAAGACAGAAGAAGACTCTGAAGGGGGAGGCACCTGCATGGGGGAGCCACTGCTAGGCTTCAGAGGGACATGAGGCGACATCTGGCCACGGCCCTCTTCTTGTCCAGCTCTGCCTACCCCAACATCAAGCTCACACCAGGCTCTGTGTATGAATGAGCTCTGTGTTTACTCTGCGATGACTTTTCAGAGACTGCTCTATGCCTTCAGTACATTGTACCCTCTGATGCACACATAAGATATTTCTCAGTGTCCTTCTAGATATCATGGGACTGCGTGACTGAGTTCTGGCAAAAGGGAATAGGAGTGGATGGAAGTGATGTCTTTCCTCTGGCCAAGACCCTGGGCTGGCTTTCCCTTTCTGAGTTTCCTCCTTTTGGGGATGCTGTGATTTGGATAAGCACCTCTCAAGGCCCAGGCATTAAAGGCTGGGATGCCAGCCTGTGACACTGTTGGGAGGTGCAGGTGGTGGGACTTTTAGGAAGTGGGGCCTCCTGGAGGGAAGTCATGTCACTGGGAATGTGCCCTTGAAAGGCTTGGGGACCCTTGGGCACCTTTCTCTTTCTCTTTTCTTCCTGGCTGCCACGAGGTGGGTAACTTCTCTGCCACTGCTCCTCACCATGTTGTTCTGCTTCATTACATGCCCCAAAGGAAGCAAGGCCAAATGGCTGTGGACTGGAACCTCTGAGGCCATGAGCCAAAATAAACAGAGTGGTGGAAAAACTAACATGAACAGTGATCATGGAGGCCAAAGAGTAACATGGAAGAGAAAAAAATGCAAACTGTCTGAATTCCTGGGTCATTTTATGGAGGAGATAAAAGTTGCCCACTTCTCACTGACCTCAATATCAGTGAGAAGTCAAAAATCTTTTGGTAGGTCACTAAAAATTTATTTGCCATTGAAGCATAGCTATTTTTTTTTTCTTTTTGAGACAGGGTCTTGCTATGCAGTTCAGGCTGGTTTTGAGCTCACTTTGTAGCCCAGGCCAGTCTTGAACTCAGAACAATCCTCCTGCTTCAGCCTCCTGAGTGCTAAGATCACAGGTATATGCCACTACACTAAGTGAAGCACAGCCTAGTTTAACCTGACAAATACATATTGTTAGAAAGCATGGAAAGGAGACTTCACTGGAAAACTCAAAAAATGATCCAGACATATCAGCACAGAGTAAGACTAGCAGGGATCTTAGAATTACTGGAGCTGTTCTTTGCATTTTGGAACAAGGCAAGGACTGGAAGAGTGAAATATTTCCATGCTTAATTCCATAATTAGTCCACAAAAGTGTAAGTCACATGGGTATTAATAATGTTAAGGGCCATATGGGAGATTCCTAGATCAAGTAATTAAATTATTCTTGTAATGAGCTTCTAAATGTGATTAAAATTTAAGTGAGTTGTGGGAGTGGAGCCTTAGTAAACACATCAGAAAGAAAGAAGAATCAGGAACGTGACACCCCCAGGAGGAAAGCTTCCAACATCACCTGAGGGCTCTGGGGACCAGTCATTTGGGGGGTGACCAGTAAAGCAAGGAGTAGAGGAGCCCAAGGCCTTGAGGACTGGCCCCTCATGGCGGTGTGTACAGATGACAGATATGCAGTTATGGGATTTAAGTTCTGCTCTGTGGGATTTGGGTCTTCCTTTGGGTCAGCTATTCCTTTCTAATTTCCTATTCTCTTTTGGAATAGGAATGTATGCTCTGTGTCAGTTCCACCATTACATATTGAGTAAAGAATTTGTTTTGATTTTACAGGCTCACGACTCCAAAGGACTTGCCTTGAGCCTCAGATGAAACTGACTTCAGATGTTGAACTGTAAGCCCCCTTTTGTTCATCTCCTTAGTTGCATTGTCATGCTTGCCTTGATGTCCCAAGTCATTTAGATTATGCCAAAAATATTATGGCATGCAATAACAAATGCTGACATGCTAGGGGAAAAAGAAACCTTTCTCCATCTGTAGTGGGAGTATAGACTGATGCAACCACTATGGAAATCAATGTGGAGATACCTCCAAAACCTAAAACTAGAGGTTCCATTCAACCCAGCTATTCTCCTTCTTGGTATCTTCCTGAAAGAAAAGCACATACATCATTGATATATGCACACCCATATTTATAGCAGCCTCATTTGTAATAGCCAAATCTTGGAAACAGCCCAGATGCCCATCAACCAGTGCATTCACACAGAACTTTTTTTTTTTTTTTTGTACAGTGGAATACTTCCATGAAAAGGATACACTTGAGAAATTTCTAGCTAAATGGATGCAACTTGAGACCTTACTCTTAAGTGAAATAACTTGGATACACATGTTCAAGCTGCACGTGGTTTCTCTGGTGCAAAGAGCTGAAACTATAAGCGAGGACCAAAATTTATAATACACATTGGGAGGTAGAAAATATGTTCAAATGAGAAGGGGGAAAAAGGGGAGGGGGGAGAGAATAAGAAAAGAAGGGACAATTAAAAAGAATAGAAATAGGGGCCTGCCAGATAGCTCAGCAGAGCAAAGCTCCTGCTTAGGCAGAGTACAGCGACTGGGTTCAATCCCTGGCAGGCTGTTCTGGCCCTGCCCCCAGGGCATGCTGAGATGGCGATTGCAACTGGGCATGGTGACACGTGCCTGTAATCCCAGTGCTTGGGAGGTTGAAAACAGGAGAATCACTACAAGTCTAATCTATGTAGTGAGACCTTGTAGACCCTGTACTAAATAAATAAAAAAAGAAAGAATAGAAGGAAATAATGGAGACAAAGCTTTCGTAAATAAGGAAGGGAAGAGGGTTGAAAGGAGGGGAGGGGAATGGGAGATAGAAAAAGCCAAGATATAGCGGGTACAGGTACAAATTCCCTATGATGGCTGATATATATATATATATATATGAGTCCTCGTCTATCATATTCACTGGATCACGTATTTCCAGACTTCTGGCTCTTCCCCAAAGTCAAGATGACCATGAAAGTGAAACATTTTGAATGGACTCAAGACACTGAGGCAGCCACAGCAGTGTAACTAAAGCTACTCCTGACAGAAGACTTCTAGAAACGCTTCAGAAAGTGGCAAGAATGATGGGATGAGAGTGTTTGAAGTGAGTGGGAAGATTTGAGGGGCATTAATGGTAATGTGTCCTTTACTATACTTTAACAAAACTTAAGCACATACCATATTTTTTGATCACAGCTCTATGTCTGTCTATCTATCTATCTATCTATCTATCTATCTATCCATCCATCCATCCATCCATCCATCCATCCATCCATCCATCCATCTATCTACCTACCTACCTAATCTATCATCTATCCATTTGTTCTGATTCTGTGGAGAACTCCAATTAATACAGATGTTGGTAGAGAATGTACTAACATTCTAAATGCAATTAATTTTGACACAAGTAACAAGTTTTCAAGCTGGCAGTTTAGAAATCACTAGCTTCTGTCTTTTCATCTTGAACATTAGTTTGCCACGAATAGCCTCATCTCCTTTCCTAGAATTGCCTCTGGATCTCCGCGAGCCTGTACTCTTCTCCTCTAGTCCCCCACCTTCCACGCTCACTGCCTGACTGTGCAGTGAGGTCTTGGGTTTCCTCCTAACATTCTCCTTCCAAGTTACCTGCCTGTGTGTTTGCTACCCTCTGCCCACCCAGATAGGTGTGCCCGTCTAGTAGAAGTGTGGCAATAACAGGAACAGAAGGAGCTCTCTGCGTGGTTTCTGCTCCATCCTGCTGTCTGACCCCAGGTTAGATCCCTGCTCCTGCTGGGTCTTAGTATTTTTTTAAATCTGATTATAGGTTCAGATTCCTTAAGTTCTCATTTATGTGGTCAGAGGCTCCCTGAATAAAGTAGAGCTGAATTAGCTGACAGCTGTGCCCACACATCACTATGGGAAACCTGGGCCTCGAAGCCACACCGGGCCCTCTGCCCTCCCTCTAGTCTCTAGCCCTTCCCTTTGTTTGGCCCACTCACCAGCTCCTGGTGTCTCCTGGGGGATTGCAGGACCCAGAAGGAATGGCAGGGACAGCAGTACTGGTACCATTGTTACCCCTGGACCTAGTGGGAAGGTCTGGATAGGAAACCAGTCTCTCTCTGGTCCTTGGCTCCCTGCCCAGGGGAGGTGAATTTATAGGCCAATGAGAGAGGGAGGATGGGATCCTCCCTTGGCAGCGAGGCAAAAATTACACGGGCCAGCTTGACAGAAATGCAGCTGGGGGTCTCCAGCCTGGGTCTTCAGATGGAGGGCTGAGACGGCTGATCCTATGCTCAGGACTCTGTGTATTACTCGGGCAAAAGAATGGTAGCATACTCTAGATGTGTGCAGTAAGTGGCAGACAATTAAGATATGTGTTATCCTGACAGTTATTGTAGTATCCCCACCTTAGTGTCAAAGGGGGCTTGAATGTGTCAGATCACACTTCACCCCTTTCCTCTGGTAAAGTTCTCTACATGTCCAGATCCTGGGGCTGGGTAGACCCGGCTAGAGTGCTAATGTCAGTTCCCACACGCGTCCTGCCAGAACTCTGTTTGGAGAACATTCCTCCCTCTCCTTTCCTCCATACTATGCCTGCAGAATCTGGAACTTCCATCGTGGAAGCCGTCATGGAAGCCAGATTTCTTCTTTTGCAGCCTCCTTTGCAATAGAATAACTTTGTGTACGTGGCTTAGGCTCAGCAAGCCTGTGCTCCTGCCCTGGAGTCAGGTGTTAGGGAAACAGAGAAGCGGCTGCAGTGGACAATCCTCCCTGAGGGTCTTGCGGCCATAGCTGCCAGCCCCCTAGTTACAGGATCCAGTTCATGGCAGTGTAATTGGTCAAGTCTGTGGCTTCTAGTGCCCTCTGCTGGCACGTTGTGAGACTAGAGCTTTTTACTCTTCCTTTCCTGTCTGATTCTGAATTGTGGTTCTTGAGTGTTTGTGGACTCCGAACACCAGCTAATAAATACATTTATATTTTCCTTAAATTAAGCATCGAGCTGTTTCTAGTGACAAATGATCCTGACTGCCACAGAAATTGGCACAGGGACTGTTCTCAGGCAACACCTGCTTAGCGAGATGGAGGGTTGGGAATCTGGGCTTGGTTATGGGTCTGCCTAGACGGGGCTGCAAATGTGATGCTCTCGGAGAATTCTTGCATCCTGGTATGCAGTGGTGGATAAAACTACTGAGTGAATTCTCTTTTATGCTTATTGCAGGTAATATTTTAGATCCTCAGTGGCTGATAGAATAGGACAATATACCATGCGAATAATACAAGGAATTCAAGGTCAAGGTAGGTCTGGGAAGTTGAAGTCTAAAAAATGGCAGAAAGCTCAAAGATGATGAATAAAACTCAAAGCAAAAATTATTTGCGTGAAATCAGGCAATTTCTGTGATAGCACAGAAGGAAGTTTCCACGTTTTACAGTTGCAAGAATGAAAAAGGCAATAAAAACTAATGATACCTAATCATTAAGACTTGATAACAAAAATAACAAAGACACATAATTACCAGAATCCAGTAACAAAATGTGATCTGGAAAGTCTTACCAATTTTACATAACAGTTAGTGCCAGCCAGATCTTTATCAGAGAAATAACTTAAATCAAATAAGGCATCAGGAAAGGCCTTGAGGAGTGTCATGGCTATGTAGCATTTTAGACAGGGACAAGAATTTCTGTTGGCAAATAGTTTGAAAGTTTCATAAGAGCTGGAATGGCATCAGATTACTTTTCCTGTCCCCAGTGTTTATTTATCCTCAGTCAACACACAAAACAGATTAATGGATAAATGAGTAAAGACAAAAAGTGAGAATAGCAGCAGACATATTTGAGGGTCCCTGAAACCATATTGATAGAAAAAGAATCTATGGAAGTGATTGCAGAAGTGTAAAAAGAAAATTAGAATCAGATTCTGGAGAGCCCCAATGCAATGCATGTGGCTAGTCACCTGGTAAAAGGAGAATACTATACAATTGTGTGATTTCCCTTACTGCCTGAGTTTTCTGGCTGCCCTATATCACTTGTCAGTAGTACTCAATCTTTTTTTTAATGCCAGGAATTGAACTCAGGACCTTGCACTTGCCAGTCAAGCACTGTGCCACTGAGCTATATCCCTAGCTCAATACTCAATCCTTTTGTGCCATCTATTTCTTTGCCAGTATTTTAGCCACCTTCCTCTGGCTGGGACAAAATACTTGACACCTCCAACCCCAAGGAGGAGAGGTTTATTTTGGGTTATGGTATGAGTCCACTGTCCATGGTCAGCAAGGTTCAAGGCATTGGGCAGAAGGCCATGTTGGAAGTGGCTCAACAAATGGCATCCAAGAAAAAGTGGAGGAAGAGCACAAGGGACAAATGGTCTGGGAACCAGGTGTAGTCTCCAAGTCCACACCCCTGTGACCCTTCCAGACACACCTAGACGTGTCTATTACACTTTTCTCCTAGGTGTCTCTCAAGTCAATCAAGATTAACTAATCATCACAAGTCCACCTATTGTTAATGACATTCAAACCTGTTTGCTTAAATCATACTTAATTTTCATATGGAGAAAACAACAAAGTCATTTCACCTAACGTTATGGAATTATACTGTGTGCAGCCACAAGAGGCATCATTTCCTTCCCCAAAGTCTTAGTAGTCATAGCACTGCTTGAAATTCCAAGTTCAGGCTCCTTTGGGATTCTAAGCAAACCTTTTCCTGTGAACTTCTGTAAAATTAAAAAAGCAAGTTACATAATGCCAAAACGCAATGGTGCCAGTGAACCATTTCCATTCTAGAAGGATGGAACATCGGAGTAGAGAGAAATAGGACTAAAGCAAGACAGAAAACCAACAGCATCAACATTAAGTCCTATAGCTTCATGTCCAGCATCCAGGGCATGTGGTGATGTAATGTGATCTCAACAGGGCACAGAGGACCTCACTGCTATGGTCTTGCTGGTTGCCACTTACACGGCCCCTCTCTTAGGCTGCAGCTGTGTTCTTTTATTTTTTTCCCTATATTTTAGGGAAGAGTCTACAGGGTGTTCAGGGTCTCACAACTAGATCAAACTTGCTGTGATTCTCCTGTTTACAGCCTCCCAAGTGCTGGGACTACAGGCATGTACCACCATACCCAATCTCAATGGCTGTCTCAGTGCGCCCTGGGAGTGGGGCCAGCACTGCAGGCCCAGGGATTGAACCACCAGCCCCTGCGCCTGCTTGCTGGTGCTTTAATCTGCTGAGCTATTTGGCCGGCCCTAGCCATCTTATCTATCTATCTATCTATCTATCTATCTATCTATCTATCTATCTATCTATCTATCTATTTTGAGGTACCAGGGATTGAACTCAGGACCTTGCGCTTGCCTGCAAACACTTATTCCACCTTCTTTGTTTGTATTTATGTGTAAAATCTCCTCCTTCCTGGGGTTTTCAGGGCAGCCTCAGCCTCGTATCTGTGGTATCACGTATTGCTCTTTTAGGGGTTTTTGGTGAGGACTTCCACACTCACACAGTGCATGGACTTCCACGTCTTCTTTTAAAACCTGGTTCGAGCGCTTGCCTGGCAAGCGCAAGGGTCTGAGTTCAATCCCAGGTTCCGCCAAAACAATAACAACAACAACAACAACAACAACAACAACACAAAAAAACCTGGTTCGAAGCCTCCATGACCCTGTATTCTGCATGCCTGCAAAATCAGCATCATGCAGATAACACCAAAGTCTGGTGCCAATATGAGCAGCATTCAGGTCCCTTTAGACACGACTGCAAATGGCTTGTGCTTGGTTGGAAGAACGCGGGGACACACTTTGATAGATGGCCCTGGGGAGCCTGAAGCCTCTTTTCTCAAATCAAAAGCTTTCAAAAGACTTCTCATTTTTCACACTTGGGCCTGTGATGGGTGGGAGCTTGCTGATTCCTGACACACTTTCAAGGCATCTTTCTTTTTGTCCTGGTACAAAGTACCTGATTTCTTTTTAATACCACTAATATCTCTAGCAACCACATCTTCTTTAACTTCAACTTTACATGTTCTTTGTTTATGGCTAAACTGCGAGATTTAAAAATCTTTCAGCTCCATTTTTTGCTTCTGATACTCACTCTACATATGGAAGACCATTTTGAGCCTTTAAGCCTTCTTCTTTTCAGTGGGTCGTCTACCCTCTCACATCCTCGGTCCTCAAGGTTCCTTGATTCTTGGCTTCTTCCATGTTGGTGAGTGAGAAGCAGTGAACTCTTAGTTCAGGTAGCTGGAGGTCTCTTGGCAGCACCTGAGGACACTCCTCATGCAGGCTGGACTCAGCTTGTTTCACTTAGATGCTCATTGCTTCCTGTTTCTGCTTTGGTTCCAAGGGGATTCAGAGTGATTTGAGTTCTATGACTTCTTGTCCACCAGAAGTTTTCTCCCAGAGCGCAACCCTGTGTTGTCAGTGTTTTCACTCTAGAGCTCTCAACTCTACAATGTTAAGTCAGGTTTTCTTCACTACGGCAAGATAGCTGAGGAAGACTCTTTAAGGGAGGGAGGATTTACTTTGGTTCATGGTTTCAGTCCACATTGGCTGGTTCCAAGGGAGAAACATCATGATAGAGGGGCAAAGTGGAAGGGAGAAAGCTGCTCAGCTCATGGTAGCCAGGAGGGAGAGGGAGGGAGAAGGAGAGAAGAGGGAGGAAAGAAAGGAAGGGGCCAGGGACAGCATCTAACCTGCGAAAACACGCACCTCTCCTGTGATGAACTTCGCGCATTCAGGCCCTGCCTCCTAACAAGCCCACTCAGCTATGGACTCATTGATGGATTTACCTGTTGCTGAGATCGCTGCCTTAATCACAATCCCTTTACTTCTTTAGGTCCCACCTCTGAATATTGCCACACTGGGGATCATGCTCTCAATACACAAATCTTTCGGGGACACTTGAGATTTAAACAATAACAACAGCATCCCTGCATCCTGTGATCCTGAATCCTTTCAGACTTCACAGATGTCAGTTGGCCTGACTTCGCTTCATGCTTCATATATGGCATGAACGCCATCTCAGTTAAAACATTTGTCTTTAAGGCTTTTTATGTAAGGGGTAGGGGTTAAAGGAAGGGGAGAGGAGTATGGAAAAAGAAGAAGCAAGATATGTCACA